TGGTCCTCCAGACCAGTATGGCACTTATGCCGCTCAGTACCCACTCCTTTCCAAAACACCAGAGCACTCAGGTTCCTCTCTAGAGTGAGAAAAAGCTCCTTATCCCGCTAGCAAACCGAAAAAAAACCCCATGGGGCTTTCTCTGAGTGAAGTAGCACTGTGCAAGGGGACCAGGGAGACTGTAGGTCAAAACCCTGCACCATATTTTCCAAAGCTTGGGATTCCTTTTGCTGTTTTCATCCCAATCCAGTAAAAAAAGACCTACATTTCCTATTTGCAAAGGAATCTTCGGCGAGAGGCATCCCACCTTTCAAGCTCCACCCTGCAATCCCAAACGCCACTCTTTGTTATTTCAAAACACAAAACCGCTCGTTTGCACCTCTTTTCCATTCTCTTCGGCTTCCATACACAAGAGCTGACACGCAAAGGTTTGTCTTCCTTTTCCGTAAGGACGTTTTTCATCCCTGGGTTTCTAACCTGACGGGGCTGCAGCTGGCAAAACCTGCGCCCCTGTCAGGAACTGCGTCTGCACAAGTGCCTCTGAACCCGCAGCACACACGCCTACATCTCAGCTGTTCCTGCCGTACTGGAATAATCCAATGTCACCCTTCAGGAGCTGCAGTAGCTATAGGGAGCTGCAGTAACTATAGGATTTATACCGGAATAAAGTATATCGAACATTTGCAAATTTTGAGTGCTACAGGACCTTTAGTCGGTCCTCCTGGAGTGGAGCCTAGCTCATACCAGAGGAAAACATCAGGTCCCCCGTACCCTCTCATTTTCCCCTGTAATTTCACCGCCTACCTTCCTCATTCGAACAATAACGTGTTGACTCTGAATAGCTCATTAAGACAATTAAGCCGACTCTGGGGTGCGAGGGGTTCAGCATCCCACCGCCCTATTCTCCCACCATGAATCCTTCCCAACAGCTCCCTTCCACCCCAGGATACCCATTTCAGAGGCTGACTACATCTCATTTTTTTTTTCAAAGCCAGCCCTTTCTCTGCTTACAGCCCCCCAGTACACATCAGGGCCTGTTCTCTCATTTATTTTCCGAACAGCAGGCTAGACGAATAATAATAACAATAATTATAACAATAATGATAATTATAATGATAATAGTGATTATGTAGTGGAAGCTACGCCCGTCCCCTGGCTCCAGAGCAGCGATTTCAGCAGCGGTAGCCCTGCCACAGAAGCAAACAGGACACCATCCCTTCTTCTGCAGCTCCCTGATCTTCAGGCAGGCTTGACGAGACCTCGAGGAATTGAACATACCAAAACTAGATTTTAATGCAGTCGCAGTGCCTGCATTGCAGCCGTCAACAGCACATGACAGGTGCCGCAACCAGTGATGAACATCCCAGAATTTACCATCCGCATTTTAGCTAGCCTGCCTCCCTCTCTGCCCTCTCCTCGTCCTCCGCACTAGAGCCAATTAAACAAAGAGCACAAGGGGAGACTTTCACCGAGACGTAACGAAGTCGCGCCGCGGTGTAAACTCGTCCTCCACGGGAAATCTTAAAAGAACAACTATAGTTGTCCTACATGTCAGCCTGGCTGAAAACAGGTTTAAATATAACCTTGTTCTAAAAATCCGTATTCATGCACGAAAATAGAAAGGCGCTGCCTCCAGCGAAAAATCAGCCGAGGGGGTGGAATCGCGCTATTTTGGTACCG